AGCCTGACCCTCATAGACTCCTCGAGACTGGCAGCCAGCTGAATGAACCATTCCTCACCAGAAGGAAGGGTCAAATAAATCTCAGGGAGGTCCCGAACTGCTGCCATAGCGTGCCAAAGTCGCCGAGCATTAATACAAAAACAGAATGCATGGAATGTGTCCTCATCAACGCAGCCACAGACGGGACAAGTTGCAACCACTTCCAAGTTTCTTTCCTGTTTGTTGCACCAGTGAGTAAACAATTAGTGGCCAAACGCCAAGCAAAGTTCGGAACTTTGGGCGGGGCAGGGGCTAGACTAGACCGCATTCCACCCATCGCGTGAACCAGGCCGAGAGCTAGTCGAAGCAATCAGCGTGTTCTGCTGTTCATCTGCAGCAAGCCGGTATGCACTTTTTACAATAAACATGCCTGACTTTTCCAGAGCCCAAGCAATGAAATCTTCTCCCAGTGTAGGTGACAGACGGATTTTTGTTATCTCGCAGATATCAATTGGGAGAAAGAATTAGTGCAGTTTCGTGAGATCCCATGCACCATTATGATCCAAAAGTTTAAAAACCCACTTGAATCTGCAACGCCCTTTCTGAGAAATAAGCCTGCCAGTAGGTTCACGAACTAACCATCGATCTCGCCAAATGCGCACATTTTGTCCATTAGCAATTCTCCATACGAGTCTTTTTTTAACAACTCCAACCCATAACTAACAGCTTGCCACGTAGAAGACCTTTTTTTTTAACTATTTTAGTCTACAAAAATGTCTTATATTTTGAACGGGAGAACAACTAATGAGCGAGTACTCCTTCGGGAGCCCCCGCAAGGGTCATTTTGGGTGGGCTGAGAGCGCGTCAATTGACGCGCTCTCATCCGCCACCACATGTCATGCACTGCGCGTTCCCTCTAGATTTTATTTTTTCTTTTATTTCTCTCTACGCATTTTCGGCTTTTAGATGACTTTTTTCAGAGTTTTTTTCTTTAGCTTTTTGGATTTCCTCTAGTCTTTTTTAGATTTTCGACAAAGAAAATTTTGCGTGAAAAAATGTGTTTTTTTCTTTTCGCGCGAGGTACGGATTTACTTTTCATGAAGGCACAGATTTGCTTCCACTAGAGGCACATCCGTACCGCTCGCAAAAGGAAAAACAATTGTGTTTTTTTTCACAAGAGGCACGGATTTACTTTTTATGGATGCACAAATTTGCTTCTGCGAGATGCACAGCCACAGCTCTCGGAAAGGAAAAATATACGTTATTTTCCCTTCCGCGAGAGGCACGGATTTACTTCTCGTGGAGGCATGAACCTGCTTCCGCGACGTGCCTCTCGTAAAAAAACATGTTTTTGAAGGAAATATGCCCTAGAGGCAATAATAAAGTTATTATTTATTTCCTCATATCATGATAAATGTTTATTATTCATACTAAAATTGTATTAACCGGAAACATAATACATGTGTGAATACATAGACAAACATAGTGTCACTAGTATGCCTCTACTTGACTACCTCGTTGATCAAAGATGGTTGTGTTTCCTAACCATAGACATGAGTTGTCATTTGATTAACGGGATCACATTATTAGGAGAATGATGTGATTGACTTGACCCATTCTGTTAGCTTAGCACTTGATCGTTTAGTATGTTGCTATTGCTTTTTTCATGACTTATACATGTTCCTATGACTATGAGATTATGCAACTCCCGTTTACCGGAGGAACACTTTGTGTGTTACCAAATGTCACAACATAACTGGGTGATTATAAAGGAGCTCTACAGGTGTCTCCGAAGGTACATGTTGAGTTGGCATATTTCGATATTAGGATTTGTCACTCCGATTGCCGGAGAGGTATCTCTGGGCCCTCTCGGTAATGCACATCACTATAAGCCTTGCAAGCAATGTGACTAATGAGTTAGTTGCGGGATGATGCATTACATAACGAATAAAGAGACTTGCCGGTAACGAGATTGAACTAGGTATTGAGATACCGATGATCGAATCTCGGGCAAGTAACATACCGATGACAAAAGGGAACAACGTATGTAGTTATGCGGTTTGACCGATAAAGATCTTTGTAGAATATGTGGGAACCAATATGAGCATCCAGGTTTTTCTATTGGTTATTGACCGGAAACGAGTCTCGGTCATGTCTACATAGTTCTCGAACCAGTAGGGTCCGCACGCTTAAAGTTTGGTGACGATCGGTATTATGAGTTTTTGTGTTTTGATGTACCGAAAGTGGTTCGGAGTCCCGGATATGATCACGGACATGATGAGGAGTCTTGAATGGTCGAGACGTAAAGATCGATATATTGGATGACTATGTTCGGACACCGGAATGGTTTCAGAAGGTTTCGGGCATATACCGGAGTACCGGGGGGTTACCGGAACCCCCCGGGGGGTTTATTGGGCCTCATGGGCCCTATTGGAGAAGAGGAGGGGCGGCCAGGGCAGGCCGCACGCCCCTCCCCCTCTAGTCCGAATTGGACAAGGAGGGGAGGGGCGGCGCCCCCCTTTCCTTCCTCTCTCTCCTTCCCTTCCTTTCCCCCTCCTACTCTAACTAGGAAAAGAGGGACTCCTACTCCTGGTGGGAGTAGGACTCCTCCCTGGCGCGCCCTCCTCCTGGCCGACCGCCCCCTCCCCCTGCTTCTTTATATACGGGGGTAGGGGGACACCTCTTGACACAACAATTGATCTCTTGATCTCTTAGCCGTGTGCGGTGCCCCCCTCCACCATATTCCACCTCGGTAATATCGTAGCGGTGCTTAGGCGAAGCCCTACGTCGGTAGCATCATCAACACCGTCATCACGCCGTCTTGCTGATGGAACTCTCTCGCAAAGCTCTGCTGGATCGTAGTTTGCGGGACATCATCGAGCTGAACGTGTGTTGAACTCGGAGGTGCCGTACGTTCGGTACTTGATCGGTCGGATCGTAAAGACGTACGACTACATCAACCGCGTTGTGCTAACTCTTCCGCTTTCGGTCTACGAGGGTACGTGGACGACACTCTTCCCTCTCGTTGCCATGCATCACCATGATCTTGCGTGTGCGTAGGAATTTTTTTGAAATTACTACGTTCCCCAACAGTTTTTCCTTCCGAGAGAGGCACATATTTAGTTATCGTGGAGGCAGGCATGGATTTATTGGCACGAATTTGCTTTTGCGAGAGAATGAATTTACTTGTCGTGGAGGCATGGATTTGCTTCTGCCCTTCGGTAAGGGAAAAATGCTGGGTTTTTTGTCCGACTTTTTCATAAAAAGTTCATCGAAACCTATCAACATGTGATCTAGTTTTGAATATCTCGATGGGAGGAATCCAATAATGAAACGGTTCGAGATTGGATGCACGGTTTAAATGGTAAAACATTTTGAATAAACAAATATGCGATTAAAGAGAAAACTCCCAGTCTATGGTAAGTGGCGCACTGCATGCGCCAGTGCGCCATTTGTCGCAACCTGAGAAGGTGGGTGTGATCTTTGCAAAAAAAGGTAGTCCTTAATTAGTGATTTCGTTGATATGGAGGGGGTAATTCACAAGTGTTAGGCTATTGGCACGTGTGGTTCTTGCCACAATGGGTTTTTGACTAATGAGTAGTGAGAGCTCCTAAATGGCACGAAGGCTATATCTCGTTTATAATGATTACCAGTAGAATGCCCGTGCGTTGCCACGGGCTGTTGAAATATTTTGCTGAAGTTATATAAAGATAATGCATGTTAAATTTCACAGGTAGAGATAATAAGACACGGTCACAATTGCATAATAATTGAAGTCTACTTCACTTGTAATTTAAACCAATAACAAAATGGCAAATTGACAATGTATACATCTAAAATGATGACCCAACTAAAAATATGTTATAAATTATTAAGATCTACTTGACGCGCTTAAGAAATTCCCGCACAATATCATAAAAGTGCTCTTTAACTTCATTCACATGATGTTTGAGCAAGTATAATAAAAACTACTTCCTCAATTCATACCTATCATGCAAAAGAAATATATGTAGTTAACACGAATACTTCACGTGGAAGGTCTAAAAACGTCTGTAATGGACAATACTCACTGCGCAAACCAGCTTCACTAGTTTTTTACCGTTCCGCGAGAGCATAAAATGAAAAACAAAATAGCTAGACAAATCCCTGCAATTTCAATGTCATTGTGTTGTAAAAAACTTCGAAACCTTTCGTCCCCTTCCAACGACATCGTCTCAGAACCCTTGTCGATGGATTCTTTTTCAACGTCGCTAGAATACATCTTTATCTCTCCCATGTCCTGAAAAAATAATCATATAAAAATACACCTTTTGGATAACATAATCGGAATGCGCCCCCAAAGGGGAGGAGCATCGCTGAATCTAACTTTCTTCTTTTAGAACAAAAGAATGAAGAGGAATTCATTTCATTTCATATATATAAAGAAGAATTAGTGGTATGCACCTCTTCTCGTTGTGTCTCAATTCAACCCGTCATCGTTACGTCAGTGCTGACGTGCATGATATTTCTAAAACATCATTGAAAGCCATCACTTTTTATCTCTGATGAACAAAAGTGGAACATATAAAAATACAAAGAATATTTTATACTGCATTAAATAAATATATATAATATCTTAGAACAAAAGTCAGACTAACACATTTTTCATTTGCAATAAAAAACTGGATACTGCTGATTTCATATAAATATATGAACATACACTCCCTCCGTAAAGTTTTTATAAGAGCGTTTAGAATCCACGTACATTTCTCGTCACATATACATATATTTCGGAACAAAGGTAATAGAAACTTCGTCCGTTTTCAATTTTGCCCCTCATTGGCTCACTCGCTTCACTCACTCGTTCCCCACTCTCTGGTCCAAATCCCTAGCTCGCCTCGCTCCGCTGCTCGCATCGCCGCCGCTCGCCTCTCTCTTGCTCGCGTCGCCGCCGCCATCTCGCCCGCGTCGACGTCGATGCTCGCCTCCACCCCACACGCGTCGCCGCCGCCGCCTTCCTGTGACGTCTTCGCCGCTCCCTCTCACCCGCGTCGCCTACACCAGCGAAGTCGCCACAAGATTGTTTTTGTTACCAAAGCGGAGGCGAGGAGCAGCTGGAGAGTTGTACCCATGGCTGGATCTGAAGTGTCTGGACGTCCCCGCGATGAGGATGAGTGGGAGGAGCAAGAGCACATCTGAAGATGGTGAGGAGTGGAGGCGGCGGTTCTGAATTTGAAGATGGTGCTGTGAGGAGTAGCGGGAGGAGCAGTCGCCGACGGCCTGGCTGCATGGGGTACGCCCTCCCCTTCATCTCCTACGGCATCGTGGACATCCTGCTCGACGACGTACATCTGCTCGAGGACATCATGCTCGATGATGCTCCTCTTCGCCAGCATCTCTGGCGCGTGGTGAGCTTCCCCTGTCCCCTCCCTTTACTCATGGTTGCCCGTGCGTTTTGGTTCAGATTTGGTTCAGATTAGGAATAGGGTACAATTTATTTGTATGCGTATGGGTACAGATTAGGAGTAGGAGATGTAGTTGTGGGAACAGTTTTTAGTAAAATTTCAGTAAACATAGTGAGCGTGTTTTACTCCAGTAATCTTGCTTGAAGTAAATTTCAGTAACTTTAGTAATCTTGCTTAAAGTACTCTGAAAATATGAAAATATACTCAGAAAATGTATTGCTTGTACTGCTGATCTTGCAGATAGGAGGAGAGTTCTTGTACTCACAGCAGCTGTTGATCTGCAACAACTCTAGGAGTGGGATTGACATTGTCATTGTGGTTTCAGTAGAAATGACCTTCTTTTCAGGTGTGAAACCAATAAATGAGACGACTAAGGTAAGCATCCATGTCGTCTGCTCAGGTGCGAAACCAATGAATGAGGGTTTAGTCTCAAGGGACGCAAGGAGAGTAAGGATGGGAGTGTTACCTTCACTTCTGATCGTGTACTCCGGCGTGCTAGATGAGGTCGAGGCACCGTGTGCTTCCACTACGGTAGGTTGTCCAGTTGAGCTCATTTCCGGTATGGAGATGGACCTGACAGTTGGGGTCATCACCCTACCTGCAAACCTTTCATTACGCCGATCGCGTAGAGCATTCCTCTCACCACGCGGTACCTGCGTACATGTTTTTTGCTTGCCAATTTTCTGTTGATGCTTGTTTGCCGCCATACCTCCATTGCAAGCTCGCTCTCTCCTCCCACGCGCTGCTCTGGACTCATGACTCTGCTCGTCCACTCCATTATCCGCTATTGTTACCGGATCACTGGCTTGCTGGTCGACATTTTGTAGGTGCACATTGATTTCGATGAGGTTGCCATGTACAGCACCATCACCGAAGGTTCTGCTTAGGTATGCACCTACAACATCATCGAATCATTATTTATATATCATGAATGATTACATGATGAAAGATGATGGTTGATAGGATATGTACCATAGGTTTCGGTGTTGCGAATGTATGTGGGGGGCACATTGACCGTAGGAGCATGATCTATTTGTTCACTGTCGAATTGTTGCGTGAGGGCTGAAAGTGCGAGAGTTGGACAATGTGTGTGAGGGCTGGCCCACCCGTACACGACGGAATCAGTGGCGCAGGTGTTCTTCGCCGAGATTGTTCGTCTCCATGGCGTTCCGCAGTCCATGGTCTCTGACCGCGACCCCGTCTTCACCTCGGCTTTTTGGCGGGAGCTCATGCGCCTCACCGGGACAAAGCTGCACATGACGTCAGCGTTTCATCCACAGTCGGATGGCCAAACGGAGGCTGCTAACAAGATCATTGTGATGTACCTACCTTGTCTCACCGGGGATCGTCCCAGGCAGCGGCTCCGGTGGCTTCCCTGGGCCGAGTACATCTACAAAACCGCCTACCAGACAGCGACCCAAGAAACTCCGTTCAAGCTTGTGTATGGCCGTGACCCTCCCACTATTCGCTCTTACGAGCCGGGCGACACGCGGGTAGCCGCAGTGGCCAGGAGCATAGCGGAGCGCGACGAGCTACTCGGGGACGTCCGCTATCGTCTACAACAGGCACAGGCGGTCTACAAGTCCTACTATGACAGACGCCATCGGGACATTCGGCATGACGTGGGCGATTGGGTCTGGCTTCGCCTTCGCCAGCGCACCGCGTCCTCTCTCAACTTGCCAACCAGGGGCAAGCTCAAGCCACGCTTCTATGGGCCGTACCGCATTTCAGAGGTCGTCAATGACGTGGTTTACCGCCTTGAGCTTCCGGCACGCTCGCGCCTCCATGACGTGTTCCACGTGGGCCTCCTCAAGAAGTTCTTCGGCACGCCTCCAACTGCACCGCCGGGTTTGCCTCCGATCCACAACAGGGCGGCTGTTCCAGAACCGGAGCGCGTGACTCGTGCGCGCCTAGCACGCGGCGTTTGCCAGCTACTCGTCCACTGGAAGGGTGAAGCAGCATCATCAGCTACATGGGAGGATCTTGACAGTTTCGTCGAGCGCTACCCCGCTTTTCAGCTCGAGGACGAGCTGCTCGTCGAGGGGGGAGAGATGTCATGTGGGGCACTTCCTACAGGCGTGGGCCACGCGACCAGGAGCAACAGCCGCCTGCCGCAATAGGCGAGGCATAGTCCGGGCAGGAGTCCTGGTCCTTATACATTAGTTCCTAGAATAAAAGAGTAGTTTGTTAGGCATAGGTTTCTAGTTTGTTAGCAGCCCATGGGGCCTTTATATATCGTATAATCAGCACCCTTTGAGGGCAAGCAATAAAGTTATTATCTCCTACCTCTCCCTCTACTCCTATCCTCTCCTTCCGCACCATTGAGCAGCCAGGCAAAAACCCTAGCGCTCCTATCCACCGAGACTACGAACTACGTAGTCGAGGCCCTGCTGTCTTGGGCACCGAGGCCCTTGACAATGGCGTGGAACATTATGCGACCTCTCTTCCCAACTGTCACGTTGCATGCTACCTAGTTATTTTGTCAGATTACCGAGAGCTGGCAAGGAATCTACATTATATAGGAATGATATTGGAGGGTTGTCTGCATCATGTTAACATAAATATATATTGGACCGAAATAAGGCAAAGTTGTAGGCACATGGTCTTAACCTTTCGGCAACATAATACTTACCCGAAATCAGATGGGAAGGTTGATGAACATATGTCCTTTCACAATGGCCTGTTCAAGAAACATCCAGTCCGAGTGAGTAATATGGGCTCCTACAGGTCATACGCTTGATCCTTTAGAATCGGTTCTGCCCAAGTCTGTTAGGTATGATTTATCACATAAAAAGCATAAAAGCAATATCAGTATATATGCACAGCCTTAATACCTGGACTACTTGGGTAATTCTTGTGAACATCGTCGACTCCAGGTATAACCCCTTCGTTAGAGTCGTCACCATTTGGCCCCTCCATCAGGCCTGCAACATCTCCTGTGATGGTGTTTGACATGTATAACAAAATATGTAGCTGAACATATATATGGAGGTAGATATATACCTGGAGTATCATATGTGCTATCACCATCGGTCTCAAGTATCATCCGTTCGGAGGGAGTAATATGGACTCCTAGAAGTCAAGATGTTGATACATTATAATCAGTTGTGCCCAAGTCTGTTAGGTATGATTTTTCAACTAAAAAGGATAAAAATAAACCTTATGCCTGGACTACATGGGTAAATTTTGTCAACATCATCGGCTACGTGTATAATCCCTTCGTTAGAGTCGTCAACACTTGTCCCCTCCATCGGGACTGCAACACATATATAGTTGAACATATATATGTTTGACTTGTGTAGCACAATTTATAGGTGAACATATACCTGGAGGTACATGTGATGAAGTCGTCTGTTCCGTTGGCTTGCTGTGTGGAGTCCCCATATGTAACTACTAAAAAAGACATGTCCAACAGACTCAGGTATATAGCAAAAACTTGTAAACTGACTCTGCAAGCAGATCACGTGAAATACCAACAGTACTAAACGCCCGTTCCCATTGTACAGAAATCCAGTCCATACGGGCAGATTGTTACAGATTTATGAGTTTTGCTATATATATGAAAATAGAAAGACATGTCCAACGGACTTTGCTACTTTCCATTTTTTTTGTAAACTGACTCTGCTGGATACATGTTAAGAATTCAAGATGCTAAGATGTCCTGTTCATCTGACTGCAGTAGATGAAGGCCGTCGAAGATCACAAGCGCAACTTGCTATTGTACAGGTTTAGAATTTAGAAAGGTGGCCTATTTTTTCATGTGAACTTACCTATTCTTTGCTATTCAGAATAATTATTTATCTTCCCATTGCTGTGTTAGTTGATTCATATGCGGTTGTGCTATTCTGACAAGGATATCCATCAAGGTTGTTTGGAGGGACATAACGAAACGTCACAAGTTCTACTTTGCTGATTCTTTCAGAGAATTGTTTCATTACTAATGCGCTGTCGCGGACATGTATTAATCCCAAATTCCAAATCACTCTGGAATCCAGTCAAAATCCAGTCAAAATCACTCTGGAATCCTTCTCCGTAATTGATTCGCAAACTACTCTCAAGGACTGCTCTGAAACTCAAATATCGTGGGCACATGAAGTTGTGGTGTAATTTTTACAGAAACAAGTGATCCAGGCAGCAAGGTATTGATTGATGCAACTATGTTGTAATGTTTCAGTGACTGTTAATATTTTTTTTAGGAAGGATAACCAATTCAGATGGTACCCAAGGAGTTCTGGATGGGAGATTGTTTATTTCTATGTCGTGCAGTTCAACATTTCAGTACTAAAAGTATTTTTCATGTTATCTAGATTGGAGGTACATCCTTTGTAAACTAATATGAGGCCTTTTAGGTCACGGAAGTAGTGACCTAAAAGGTCTTGTATTAGTTACAGAGGGGTTTGATTTGTGAGGTCCCGCGGGCAGCTACCGGCAGCGGAGGTGGAAAAAGAAGTCTGGCATGGCTTGATTTAGTTTGAACACGAGTCCATCAGGATCGCCCTGACCTGTACACGTAGACATAACAAACAAACAAAACATGTGTGTTCATACCTGGGGTTGAAACCGTACAGCGTCGCCGATCGCACGTTCCGTGGCGGCGCGTGACCCAGAAACTGCCAGCGGCGGCGGCACTGTCAAGTCGTTCCGCGGCGGCGGTGCTGTGGAGTGCGCAGATCGCACGACGGCTGCGCAGATCTGATCGGCAGTGGGGTATGGGGATTGGCGACGGGGTATGGGGCATGGGGATCGGCGTCAGGGCGATCCTGATGGGCGGCAGGGCGCTGTTTCTTTGGCTACCTACATGGGTGGGGTTTGGTGGGCGGGGTTCGGTGGTTGGCGTGGGGTGGGGGTAATTTGATGGAAAAAACCAGACGAAAAAAACCGGTTGAAAAAAAACCAGACGAAAGTGGGGGGACTATTCAACCAACTCGTCC